ATGTGAATCATCCTTCTACTCCAGCTCCCTGCCATCTCCTGCCATCACTTAGTAGGAGAGCTCAAGACCAGCAAAATGACCATGGCTGGAAGCTAGGATTCCTCTGGTCCTCTCTTTGTCATGAAACAGTCAACAAACATTTGTTGAACAACTAACAGGTGCTTGGGAATAAAGCCACAAGCAAGACAGGCAAGATCTCTGATCTCATGGAATTTATATTCTAGTGGTAGACAGAAAACAAAGAAAAGACCTAATAGTGGTAAATAATATGCAGAAAATTGAGATAGAATGATATAGAAGGTTGTGATTGGTTGGCTAATAAAGATCTCTCTGCTGGGGACACTTATATGAGAGATAAAGGAGTTGGCTTGGCAGAGTTCACAGGAAGAGCACTCCAGGTAGAGGGAACAGCAAGTACAGATATCCTGGGTGGTATGAGGTAAGATCAGTGACTAGGCAGGGCTAGCTCATGTAGTAGAGTTCTGTAAGCCAAGATAAACATTTGCTATTTAATAATAGGAAGCCATTGAGGGATTTTGGCAGGGAAATTATATTTTAGGTCATTCTGGGGATGTGAGGACATGGGAGCAAGAGTGCAAGCTGGGAGAGTGGTTAGGAAGGCCGTTTCAGTAGTTCAAACACCAGATGTTGATAGCTTGGATTGGGTGGCGGTAATGGAAATGAAGTGGTCAGCTTCAGGAATTGGTTGGGAGGCGGAGCCAATGGGACTTTTTTTTTTTTTGTCTATTTGTGTTTGTGGTAAATTGTTTCCAAAATTGGTTGCTGCCACATCTTTCATCCTACATGCCTTTTGGCCCCCTCTCTCATCAAGAGGTGGATTTTATTTCCCCTGCTGTGGGCTGGCTCCAAGACTTTGTTTTACTAGTAGAATGCAAAAGAAATGACATTCTAGGACTCCAAGACCAGGTCTTAAGAGGCCTTTAATTATTCAGCCATTAAAAAAAAAAAGGAAGGAAATCCTGCCATTTGCAACAAGATGGATGAAACTTGAGGGCACTTATGCTAAATAAAATAAGTCAGAGAGGGGCGCCTGGGTGGCTCAGTCGTTAAGTGTCTGCCTTCGGCTCAGGTCATGATCCCAGGGTCTTGGGATCGAGTCCTGCATCGGGCTCCCTGCTCCACGGAAAGCCTGCTTCTCCCTCTCCCACTCCCCCTGCTTGTGTTCCCTCTCTTGCTGTGTCTCTGTCAAATAAATAAAATCTTAAAAAAATAAGATAAAATAAGTCAGAGAAAGACAAATACTCTATGATCTCACTTATCTGTAGAGTCTAAAAAACCCTGTACTTATAGAAACCTGGCATCCTGGGGTGGGGGGCAGTGGGTGAAGGTGGTCAAATACAAACTTTCAGTCATAAGATGAGTAAGTTCTGAATCTAATGTACAGCATGGTGACTATAAGTAAGTCCAGGCTCTGCTGTTGGAGAAGCCACGTGGACAGAGCTTCCTTGGGGGATGAAATACCTCAAGAAGAGAGTGTCCACGTAGAAAACTGAGGCATCATAGTGGGGAGTCAGCCCCTGGACCTCAGGTGTGAATGAGACCATTTTGGAACTTCCAGCCCAGCCCATCCTGAGCTGAGGGCAGCTAATTTCAGGTAGAGAGGAGTGAAGCCACCCTTTTAGAGGCTCCCCCAATTCCTGACCCATAGGATTGTTGCTTTAAAGCACTCAATTCTGGGTGGTTTGTTAAACAGCAAGAGATTTAACTTAAACAGTCTGGGATTTTTTGAGGGGTATTGGGGAAATTATGTAGCTAATTATTTATTTATTTCAGTGCTTCCCCCTCCCTTTGTAAAGAACCAACTTCTGTTTTCTGATTCAGAAGTTCCTACAGTCTTTTCATTACACATTTCCAATATTCTTATGCTGGTGAAATCAAACCAAAATGATTCCAAGTATAGACACTAAAGGGGAAAAGAACTGATATGCAATATGCAGCCTGAGCATATGTAGGCATGGGCTAGATTAAAGGGCAACCATACCTGCCTGTTTCTAGACTGGTGAAGGGCTACATATAGGCTGCATGTGTTCACGTGAACTCTGGTTTTTAGCATCAACTCATAACGCTTTTAGAATTCCAAGCAACATGGGGCTAGATTTGAATCATACCAGTATGCATAGAGCCCCTTGATGCTACTGCCATACTGGACCCTAGCAGGAGATGGGAGTCTGTGCTCTCTGTTTTTGAGGACTAGACATACCGTATTTCATTATGTGGGCAGGTAGTATACTGGGAGAGGGGATCTGGCCACCTTCACAAAGGCCCTGTGGCTGGCCTCTGCTGAAGACTTAAACTTGCATTTTTTCTGTTGCTGATGCCATGTGGAGAACCCAACTTTTGCTGCTGCCTGAGGCTGGCTTTGACTCTTCTCAAGCCACTCAGGCAACGTGGGTTCTACTGAGACCTGTGTTTCCATACTATTCCCAGGCTGCAGGTCCCTCCTGGTGGGATCAGAAGAATGGCTAGCCTGGGTGAGGGTTTAGACACCTATTTTGTCAGTTCAGATGACAAGCTAATTATTGATTACTGCTGGCACCATGGCAAATACTTTGTGCTCTAGATTCACAAACACATCCCCAATATATTCGTGTTCTTCATGGACCAAGGGCTCAAAAACATTAAGCTGTATCCTCAGCTTTCTAATACATAAAGTAGAAGTGGACCAAAATTTATAAAGTGCCCTCTATCATTCCTAAAGAAGGGGCTGCCGGAGCTGCTACTATTGGCATAGGTAAGAATGGCCTGTTTTATTGGCAAAAGTACTATCTGTCCCTAAATACAGGCAGTGCTCTGGGAGAATCCACAGCCAACGCTGTGGGACATTTGAAGTTGTCTTTAGAAGGTTTAAAGTCTGGGCCAAATAGCATCTTAAAAGCTTCCTGTGTGTGCTTCTTCCTCCCACCATTTTTCTGTAGGTGAAATCAGATTTTAGAAGATCAAAAAGAACAGGGGAATACAGTCTAGGGAATGCATGCATATTTTTGTAATGTGGGGGTTGGCAATATTCCCATGTGATTGTCAGGGAACTGCAGCAGTGGTGGTGGGGTGGCTAAGACCTGACTTCACAATAGCTTTGCTCTGGTTTCTGACCTGTTTTCTTTGGGCAGGGTATACCAAGTGTTTAAAGAAAAAACAGGTTTTAATGTATAGCATGGTGACTATAGTTAATAATACTGTATTGTATATTTGAAAGTTGCTAAAGAGAATATGTTTTAAAAGTTCTCATCATACATAAGGGGCACCTGGGTGGCTCGGTCAGTCAAGTGGCTCTTGATTTGGGCTCCGGTCATGATCTCAGGATTGTGAGACTGAGTCTTGTGATGGGTTCTGCTCTGGGTGTGGCCTGCTTAAGATTCTCTTTCTCCCTCTTCGCCGCCCCCCCCACCCCCCAACCACATGCGTGGGCTCTCTCTCTCAAAAAAAGTTCTCATCACGCAAAAAATTGGTAACTATATGAGGTGATGGATGTTAGTTAGACATTGTGGTGATCATTTTGCAACACATACAAATATCAAATCATTATGTTGTATACCTGAAACTAATATAATGTTGTGTGTCAATTATATCTCAATGAAAAAAAAAACCACTTAGGTTTACTAGGAATCCTATTGCAGGAGTCAAATGTTCAGAGAATTGAAATAAACCAAAAGGTTGTGGTTTTTGGTCTCCATCCCCCATATATGACTAATAGTTCTTGCTGCTGGACTGGCCCTAACTGTGTATCCTCTCCTTTGACTTTCTCCAGTCAAAACTAATAAAAATTCAGCTGGCCTTGGAAGTGAGGCACTTTCACAGTGCTCATTCTTACTTCTTCCTCTGTGCATGGCTCCTTAATCTGAGGCATACCTCAACTTCTCCCAGGAGTAAAATATTCAACATCAGGAGGTACCAGTTTGCGGGGAGGCCTGGGATTCCCTGAGACCAAGTGGGACTTTGCAAAAGCTTTAGAGTAAGTGAGCATCTGTGCCAGGGTCTGGTAACACCTGTTGATCTTGAGTTGCAAAGTAAACCTGTAGTCTGGGCTGGAAGCAAACCAGACTCCAGGCGAGTTGCAGATGGCAGACACTCCCACCTTTTGGGTTTCACAAGCAGTTTGTGCTTGGCTAACAAATGGAAAAAGCTTTCTATAAAGCATTTGAGCTAAACTGGACAATGGGGTACTCAATATATTAGCTAAAACCTCAGATTCTTTATCCAAACAAACATAATGTTCTATTTTCAGTTGTCTGACTGTAAGTATATTCATACTCAAAACCACCTTTAATTGATTGGTATTAACTTTATGATGGAACAAAAATGACATGAATCATACCCACAGCAATCACTCCCGCCAAAAAAGCGATGCTTTGTAGGACTTTCGTAAAACGAGTGGTTTTACTGTCTACCATCTTCTGTAAATTTAAAATTGAAATCTTCAAGATGGGTTAAATTTTCAATACTGATACTCATTTAAAAAGGTGTTTTTAATTTACAAAAGACAAAATGGGTCTATATTTGTAAACATTTATTCTCTTGAACTGAAAAAGGCTTGCATCAGCACACATTGTACAGCCTTGCAAATTACACAGAAATTGAAAAAAAGTTCCTTGTTCATAAGTGCAATGAATCTTTGATGTCCAGTGATCCGCTGCAAACAATGAAAACAAATTTTAAACCACTTAAGTTTCCAGCACTCATCAAATGCATTTCCTTAGGTGACAAAAAAATCCACAAAGAGGGGAATGCAAATAAGTGGCATTTAGTTATCAGAGGGACACTTAAAAAAAAAAAGTGGAAGTATTTTCTTGCCTAAAATGATTCCTATTCCCCTTTGAATCTAAGTGGTTTGATTAAGAAGTGTTAAGAACATAATTTACTTCACACTTAATGTTCATACTACCTAAATGAATAAGGAAAGGACCCTGTGAGGGAGCTCTGCATTTTCTGAAAATTGTTTCTGTGTTTAGAGATACAGGGGAAGGGTAATCTTCTATTTGTGGGCTCTCCTTAGGTACCCTCCAGCCCCCCAAAAAGATAGTACATGGTTCTGACTTGGTTATTCCACTCCTGCATTCTTTGCCCCCCCAAATTCTATGTTGGTTCACATTGTGCTGGCTGCAAAAAAGAAATACAGGTTGCAACTGGTTGTAATCATTTTGAAGAATAATTTGCTGTACAATAGAGCTTTGGATCTGATACAAGAATTCAGAAATATAAAACAAAATAACTATAAAAGTTAGGAGGCATTTGAACAGCATTTCCTCAGAAAAAGCTGCTAACTCTGTATCATTCCGATGTGGATTCCTATAGTCATTTGGGGTGAAATGTGTAATTTTCCCCCTTTGCTGGATCACTGGCCTGTCTTCAAAAGCTATAACGCCATGACCACACGTCCTAGGAGTCTCTATCATGTTAACAGAAGCTCCAAATACCAAGCCAATTAAAGATGGGTGAGGACAGGGGAATCATAAAGGCCAAGGGTCCAAGGTGGCTCTGTTACTGAGAACTTGCCCTTTCCAGAATGTGAAAGTCATAGTGCTTCTTGCTCGTTCTCAGCTTAAACTTGTTAACCGAGTTAATTTGTTTCTTCAATGCATTCTGTGCAGCTGAAATGGAGGGGAATGTGGCTAAGACTGTATATGTGGAGGCCAAGTCACTGGGTTTAGAGCGTTCAGGGCTGACAGTGTTGTCCCCGCTGCCACAGCAGAGGGGGTGACGACGCAGCTGGGGCTGGGATTGAGGGTCCCGGAGCCACCGGATCTTGGCACCAATTTTAAAGAGTTCCCCAAAAAGCTTCTCAGCTTCCATGCGAGTTATTCCATCTGGCAGTTCGGTAATTTCCAAGACCTTCCCAACAACTAGAATGGAAAAGGTGTAGAATTAATAATCCCTGTTACCAAGATGGTGGGCAAAAAGTACTGAAGACCCAAATACGACATAAAAAATGAATGGGATTTTTGTGAAACCATTCTAACCCACAAAACTATAATTATGGCCATCTTTTAAATCATTTCTACCTACCCCTAAGGCAGGGGGTGTAGAGCTAATGGTACTAAATTACCCGTTTCACTCTTGACTGACAGTTGTACATAGAAAACACAGCATTGTATAGTGGATTCTCTAAGTTAGGTGTGTGATCTTGGGCTGTTTCCTGAATTTCCTGTTCCCATTGTAAAACAAACGTAAGAGCACTTGCTGTAACTACCCAAGGCTGTTGAGTGCATACCTGAATGCCCAACTGCCAAATAAAAGCAGTTATTTGTTCATCAGACTATTTCTGCATGGGTGTAAGGACTACTTCCTTTCTCCAAAAATAGAGAGGCAAAGAGTGTCATTCTACCTGTTCCTTTCACACATAACTTTTTCCTTTGGTCCTTCATCCTTCCTAAATCCACCTGACCTTACTGTACTCTCAAATCTGAAATGAGACAATTAAAAGAATCTATTTTAAAAGCCCTACATTACAGATGGCATAATTTCTTGTAAGGTTGTGCAAGACTTCATGAAGCGGAAAGCTCATTTATGTTTAAAGACTGTTGAACCGGTTAACAGTTTGTAGAACCACATCCAATTGCCTCTCAGGGACATACCTGCTTCTCCCGCACCAAGGTCAGTGGATGCAGCTTTTTTAGCTTGTTTCCTTCCTCGGTTTCCATGCCTGTTGCCAGATTGACCCTGAAACCCCACAAACAGATTGAAAATGTGACTGTAATGTTTAGACACTTAACACCTAAACATACTCAGTCTGGGTTTTGTACTTCAGCAGAAAAAATCCAATCCCAGGCTCCTGTGGCAATGGCATTTCTGTCCCTCACTATGACCAGTTCTACTTGTCTTTCTTAAGCAAGGGTGCCCTGATGCCCCAGCCACCCTCTGCCCCCTTTTGGAGAGCGCTAGTGCATGACTGCTCAGGCAAACAGCACACCACCTTCTCCTTTGTCTGTTCTCAGTGGGGCCCAATGCAGCCAGATGACACTGATAAATCAGCTGGCTGAGGCACACAGGTCTCCCTTGTGCAGTGTCAACGAGTGGGCCCAGGGCCCCCTACACTCTCTGCAACCCAAGTATGATGTTCTGCCAACAAAGCCTAAGTCGTCAGACAGCTAGCTTTCACACCTGTTGGGTTGGAATGTGTCCGTGCAGAACAGCAGGAGGGTTGTACTGCAAAGGCTGGCCAAGTAATGGATATCTGGCATCTCCTGAAAGTCAGTAAGAAAACATTTTTACATTGTTCTCTGCTCATTTATCAAAGTACTTTCCAAAGTTTTCTTTTCTCTTTCTTTCCAAAGTTTTCTAAATTGTCCAAAATAGTTAAGATGCCTAGGGGAAACACATTTGGTAGAATAAGAAAAAGTAGGTACTGACATATTTTTAAAAAGGATTAAAAGTGGCGCCTGGGTGGCTCAGTTGTTGGGCGTCTGCCTTCGGCTTGGGTCATGATCCTGGTGTCCTGGGATCAAGCCCTGCATCGGGCTCCCTGCTCTGCGGGAAGCCTGCTTCTCCCTCTCCCTCTGCCCCTGCTTGTGTTCCCTCTCTCGCTGTGTTTCTCTCTCTGTCAAATAAATAAATAAAATCTTTAAAAAAAAAAAAAGGATTAAAAGTTTCCATTTTCCCTTTAAAGAGCTGGGGTAAATTTATGAGAGGAATAAAGACTAATAACAGTGGCTATGAAGGAAGGTAAGTGGTGGGAACTGGGTGGAAAGGGGGTAGGATGGAGAGAAACTTCCCTAATTTACCTGAACATTCGATATGAAATCCTCCAAAATAACTGTAATACCCATTCCACCCTCTTGAGATGCTAAAACCCACATTTTCTATGATGATTAAAAATCGATATAACTTACATTTCAGGAGAAGGAAAAAACCCTGGAAAAACATTAAGCTATCTCCCCAAAGTTACTGCTTTTTTAAAAAAAGTATTTAAAAATTTTTTTTCAGTAATCTCTACACCCAATGTGGGGCTCAAACCCACAACCCCGACATCAGGAGTTGCATGTTCTGACTGAGCCAGCCAGGTCCCCCTCTGCAAAGTCACTATTAATTACTAAAAATATATGCATGTATACATTTGTAGACACTCATTACAAACATTTTTTTAAGGTTCATTTATTTTGGGGAGCCTGGGTGGCTCAGTTGGTTAAACATCTGACTTTTTTTTCTTTTAAGATTATTTGACAAGAGAGAGAGACAGCGAGAGAGGGAACACAAGCAGGGGGAGTGGGAAAGGGGGAGGCAGGCTTCCCGCTGAGCAGGGAGCCCGATGCGGGGCTCGATCCCAGTACCCTGGGATCATGACCTGAGCTGAACACAGACGGTTAACGACTGAGCCACCCAGGTGCCCCTAAACATCTGACTCTTGATTTCAGCTCACGTCATGATCTCAGGGTTGTGAGATCAAGCCCGGCATTAGGCTCCACACGCATGCTTAAGATTCTCTCTCTCTCAAGGGTGCCTGGGTGGCTCAGTTGGTTAAGCGACTGCCTTCAGCTCAGGTCATGATCCTGGAGTCCTGGGATCGAGTCCCACATTGGGCTCTCTGCTCAGCAGGGAGTCCGCTTCTCCCTCTGACCCTCTTCCCTCTTGTGCTCTCTATCTCTCATTCTCTCTCTCTCAAATAAATAAATAAAATCTTTAAAAAAAAAAAAAGATTCTCTCTCTCAAGAGAGGAAAAAATAAAACAAGACAAAACTAGAGAGGGAGACAAACCATAAGAGAATCTTAATCATAGGAAACAAACTGAGGGTTGCTGGAGGGGAGGGGGGCGGTGGGATAGGGTAACTGGGTGATGGACATTAAGGAGGGCACATGATGTGATGAGCACTGCATATTATATAAGACTGATGAATCACAGGCCTGTACCTCTGAAACCAATAATACATTATATGTTAATTAATTAAATTTAAATAAAAAAAGTTAAAAAAAAAGATAATGACATTGGGGGAAAAAATTCTCTCTCCCTCTCCCTCTGTCACTCCCCACCACTTCTGTCTCCCTCTCAAAAAAAAAAAAGAAAAAAAATTCATTTATTTATTTTTTTTAATAATCTCTACACCCATTGTGGGGCTTGGACTCATGACCCTGAGGTCAAGAGTTAAGCTCTTTCAACTAAGCCAGCCAAGTGCTGATTACAAAGATTTTTATAGTCTTAACCAGTAGTATATTTACACTTTAGGTCTTAGGTCTGCTCTTAAACACTCTTTAAAGGGATTAATAAATGCTGATGGCAAAAACCTTGTCCTGGAGAATAATATTTTCATTTGTTAATATTCTCATTTTAGGGACGCCTGGGTGGCTCGATTGCTTAAGTTTTGGACTCTTGATTTGGGATCAGGTCATGATCTCAGGGTCCAGGGACTGAGCCCTACATCGGGCTCCATGCTCAGCAGGGAGTCTGCTTGAGGATTCTCTCTCCCTGCCCTCCCTCCCCCGCTCACACATGTGTACTCTCTAAAATAAATCAATCTTAAAAAAAATTTCTCATTTTATTTTTAACCACAAGTTCCCCAATTCAGTACATTCTGTATTTGGAGGGGGATTATGCATAGGTGCTAGAAAAGCACTTCAGGGAATTATATGTCCCTTCTCCTGAAAGCTTCCTAACAGAGAAAAAGCAAGGTACAGACTTCTCTCTACTGCCATGGAGCTCTTTTCAGATGAACAGTGTGAAGGTGCTAGGGCAGCTCCCTGGTAGGTCACACCTGTGACACACTTGCTCCTTCCCAAGCACTATTTGAAGGGCAGATATGCCACGGTGGCTTAACGTTGAGATCAGAGAAGCATGAAGATGCATAAAGAACAGTTTCAAGAAAGTCAGTTAAGTTTACATCATGGAGCAGTATTCTTTTGAAATATGGAGATGAGCTGTAGACAGCAGTAATCAAAGACCCCTCCTTATAAGCCATGCTATGTGCTCCTCTTGGGGCATTCATACTAGACCATGCATCCCAATATTACTATATTGCCATATACTGTTTAAATTTAAGGTATGTGGCTTTGTAGAAAATTTGGAAACAGAATTACAAAGGAGAAAATACAAACCTGTTTGGTAATTCTATCACTTCTAACATTTTGGTATGTATCTTTTCAGTCTTTGTTCTACATATGTGTGCTTGCACATATGTACATGTGTGCATTTTATAAGTCTTTTTTTTTTAAGCTTTTATTTATTTATTTGAGAGAGAGAGCATGAGTGGGGTGGGGGAGGGACAGAGGGACCTGAGCCGAAGGCAGATGCTTAACCAACTGAGCCACCCAGGCACCCCTATAAGTCTTTAAAAAATTGAGATATAATTTACGCAAAATAAAATGCATATCTTTAGTGTTGGGTTTGATGAATTCTAACAACTGTAAAAGTCCATGTAATCACAACCCAAAAAAGACAACATTTCCATCCCCTGAGAAGTTCCCTCAAGCACCTTAACAGTCAATTCCATATCCCATTCACATCACTACCTGATTTCTAACATCATAGCTTAGTTTGCCTATAACTGGATTTCAATTAATTAGAATCATATAGTAGGTCTTCTTTTTGTGTCTGACTTGTTTTTTGCTTAACCTGACTCTGGGAGATTCATTGATGTCACTGCAGTCAGTTTGCTTTGTTCATTCAAATTGTTGAGCAGTATTCCATTTTAAGGATATATTACAATTTGTTTATCTAATAGTCTTCGTTTGGTGGACAGTAGGTCGTGTCCAGTTTGGGCAATTATAATAAAATAAGGTTGTTACATATGCTGTGGTACAAGCCTGCAGAGACATGTTTTCATATTTCTTGGGTAAATACCTAGGAGTGGAACTGCTGCATTGCAAGGTAAGTAATTAACTTTGTAAGAAACTCAAATCTTTTTCTAAAGTGGTTTTAGAATTTTACACCTCTACACCAACGTGCAAGAATTTTAGTTGCTCTGTAACTTCACCTACATTCAGTTGTGTTAATCTTTTTGATTATAGCCATTCTAGTGGGGGTGAAGTGATATTTCATTTGGATTATAATATTCCTTTCCCTAACGAATAATGAATGATGTTGAGCACCTGTTCAAAGGCTTGCTGGACATTTGTATATCTTCTTTTTTGAAATGCCCACGTAACTTTTATTTTTAATTAAATAATCTCTATGCCCGATGTGGGCTCAAACTCATGATCCCAAGATCAAGTCAAGAGTCACATGCTCTACAGACTGAGCCAGCCAAGTGCTGCCTTTTTAAATTGAAGTATAGTTGACACACAACATCACATTAGTTTCAGGTGCACAACACAGTGACTCCACAACTCATATGTTATGCTACGCTCACCACGAGTGCAGCTACCACCGGTCACCATTATAATACAACCGAGTACATTCCCCTATGCTGCACTCCCCATCCCTGGGACTTATTCATTCCATAACTCGAAGTTTATATCTCCTCTTTATGTGACTTTTTTTTTTTTTTTAAATCACTCACTGTACTATGAATATTTCTTCTAAAGAGTCTTTAAAAATGATTTGTGGATAACTGCGTAGTATTCCTTATATAGAGACACCAAATCTAATCCTTACTGATGGACATATCATTGTGTGCATTATCCTTAGGATAAATTCCAGAAAATATAATTAATGTTTTCCATACTATTGTAGAATCATCCATTTGCTGTTCCTCCAACTAGACTGAGGGTCAGTGAGGGTGAGGACTTCACCTTATTCATCTTTGTATGTCATGGGCACAGTGAGGACTCAATAACTGCTGAATATACTTTTGAATAACCTCTTGATATATACTACTCTGATATAAAAATTAGAAATAAAAACTATTTATAGCATTGCCTATTACTACTATAGAGAAATGGAGTCTAAGGATAGTAAGTTATGGTCATTTTAACTCTATCATATAAGTAATTATTAAATTGAAGTAGTTACTAAGATAGTAATTATTAACTAGTGTGAAACATTAAGGTTAGGAGAGTATATGGTAATAAACACATATGCCTGGGTGGAGGTGAAAATGCAGTCCTGTGGAGAACTGAAAACAGTACCAAGGGAAATCACAAAGTGATTGGGAAGGGATGTCTTTTATCTTCAATTTTTAATTTTTTTAAAAAATTTAATTTCAGTGTAGTTAACATACAGTGTTGTAAGAGATTCAGGTGTACAATACCGTGATTCGAAAGTTCCACTCACCACCCAGGGGAGGGGATGCCCTGCACTCCTCTGAGGCTGTGACTAGTTTTGTGCACTTACCTTGCCCTGGAACAAAAGGTCTAGAAAACTGAGGTATGATGGAAAGGGGTGGTCCAGGGGGACGGACAGTTTTGAGGGTGGTCAGCTGAGCTGGTGCTGGCGACTGAGCTGGTGAAATAATGGGACTACTGAGTTGAGGGCTGTGCTGTAATCACATCAAAAAAGCAGGTTAGCATTTTAGTCATGCTCTTTGCAAATTAACTGTTGGAGCAATTTCTTATTTTTTTTTCTGATTACAAATATGTATTTGTTAAAAAAATTAAAACACAGAAATTTATAATTTTCAACTTCCGAAGATAAACACTGGAACAGATTGTTTCTATGCATTTGCATCCATATGTCTATGTTTTACAAAAACGGAAGTAGACTATACATCCTATTTTTGAATCTTGCTTTTGTACCTGGACAGTAATAGTGTAGATACTTTTCCATGACAAAAAAATATACATTTATCTCATTCTTTTTGTCATGTTAACTGTTTAACATTTCGTTTTTAAACAATTCATACCTAAAGAACAATTACCAAAAATAGTACAAAGAATTCTCAGATTTCCCAAATGTTATTTTCTTATATTTTTTATCTCTCTCTTCATATTTTTAAATCTTTATCTCTCCCTTGTATATACTGTTATTTTTTTCCAAACTATTTGAGAATGAATTGCTTACAATACCCTCATCCCAAAATAACTTAGTGTCTTTTTCCTAAAAACAAGGACATTCTCCTATATAATTAACCAGAGTAGGATCATCAAAATCTATATAAAAGTGATTCTACTCTGTATGTAGTGGAGTGTTTAAGAACACTTGAAATAAAGATGTTTCTAAGAAAAGTCCTTGGAAAAAAGAGAATTATCAAAATCAGGCAACTAACAATACAGCAATATTATGTAATCTATAGAGTTTATTCAAATTTCACCAATTGTCCCACTAACATACTTTATAACAAAAAAAAGAAAGAAAAAAAAAAAAAGAAAAAAAAGTCTCCCTTTTTAGTCCAGAATCAAATGGTACATTAAGTTGTCACGTCTCTTTCATTTTTTTTTTTTTTTTAAGTAGCTTGGGGCTTGAACTCACAACCCTGAGATCAAGACCTGAGCTGAAATCAAGAGTTGGGATGCTTAACCGACTGAACCACCCAGGTCCTCCTTTTTCTTTTAAACTGGGAACAAAGACTTAGTCTTTTTTCTCTCTCATGACTTTGACGTTTTTGAAGATCAGTTATTTTGTAGAATGTCCATCAATTTGGGTTTGCCTGCTGCTTCCTTCATGCCCAAATTCACAGTGTACATTTGCATAAGGAGCACTAGAGAAGGGACAGTGTGTCCTTCTCAATGCATGAGATGGAACTTGAGGTCCACGTGTCAACATAGTCCTCGTGATATTTACTTCCATCACTTGGTTAAGGTGGTGTCTGCCAGGTTTCTTTGTTGTGAAGTTACTATTTTTTCTTTTCTCGTTATAAGTGTCTTAGGGGGAGATCACATTTTCTGTAAACAGAGAATTTTACTTCTTCCTTTCCAATCTGGATGCCTTTTATTTCTTTTTCTTGACTAATTGCTCTAGGTAGGGCTGCCAGTACAATGTTGGCTGATAGGTACCTTTTAAAATCTACTGAGATTTAACTTGTGGCCTAACATATAGACAGTCTATCCAAGAATACGTCCCATGTACACAGGAAGAGTATGAATGTTGCTGTTGTCAGGGAGAGTGTTCTCTACACCTCTATTGGATCTAGTTGGTTTGTTGTGTTTAAGCTCTCCATTTCCTTACTTACTTCTTGCCTGGTTGTGGTATCCCTTATTGAGAGTAGGGCATTAAAGTTTCCAACTATTATGTGACGGTCTGTTATCAGGTAAGTTAATTATTAGGTTCATATAATCAGGTTTATAAATATTTTATCTTCTTGCTGTATTGAACTTCTGTATCTTGAAAATTTTTTGGATCTAGAGACTTACTTTGTTTAATATTAGCAATAATAACCGCTATTCTCTTTTGGTTACTATTTTCATGAAATATCTTTTTGCATCCTTTCATTTTCAATTGATTTGTGTTTCTGGACTTAAGGTGAGTCTCGTAGACAGCATATAGTTAGATCGGGTGTTTTTATCCACTCTGCCAATCTCTGTCTTTATAGTTAAAATAACTACTGATAAAGAGGGACTTACCTTTGTCATTTTGCTTTGTTTTCTATATGCCTTCCAGCTTCCTCCCCACCCTTCATTTCTTGCATTACTGTCTTCTTTTGTGTTTACTCCATTTTTTGTAGTAAAACATTTAAATTCCTTACTCATTTCCTTCTGTATATATTCCCTAGGTTTTTTTTGGGGGGGTGTGGTTTACCTTGGGTATTACACCTAACATCCTAAAGTCACAACACTCTAATTTGAATTTATACCAGTCTAACTTCAATAATATACAAAAACTCTGCTCTGTTCACGTTTATTCATTCTCTTTTCTGTCTGTTCCTCAGACTTGATCATTTCCACTGTCTTGTCTTCAAGTTCTCTGACTCTCTCTTCAGCCTGCTCATATCCGCCACTGACTTCCTTCACTGAACTTTTCATTTCAGTTATATTTTCAGCTCCAGAATTCCTTTTTGGCTTCTTTTTAGGTTTTCTATCTCTTTATTGATATTTCAATTTTGTTCATATATTGTTTTCTTGTCTTTTTCCATATCTTTCTGTAGTTCTTCGAGCAACCTGAAGACAGGTGTTTTAAGGTCTTTGTCTAGGAGATGTGTCATCACGTCTTTTTCAGGGACAATCTTATACTGACTTTTTTTCTTCCCTTGCATGGGCCATACTGTCCTGTTTCTTTGCATGCCTTGTGACTCTTTGTTGAAAATTGGACATTTGGATCTAATAATGTGGTAACTGGAAATCAGATTCTCCCCCCTTCCCAGGGTTTGTTGTGCTTTGTTGTTGTTATGGTTTTTGGTTATTGACTGTTGCAGCCTGTCTCTGTGCCAAAGATCGGCCTGAGGTATAACCCTGAGGTCTTCTCAGGGTTTGGCCTGTGTCTTTCCCTGGAATGTGCCCTATATATTCAGTTGCTTCTGAATGTCCTAGGCTTACTGTGTGGCTCCCAAAATGGACTCAAAGAGAACAATGAAGGGAGGGTTTTGTCCGTTTAAGTCCCCTAGAAGTGTCAGGGGGAGAGATGTGCAACAATGTGGGGAGGTGCACCGACAGTGATTACTGCCCCTTTGTCTACACCTCTGTGATCAGAAGTAGAGACCCATGATGAGAACACAAATCCTTTGTATTTGGAGGACAGGGTCCTTTTTGCCCACCCTGACTCCTGTAAGCTGCTCTAGTAACAACGTGCACAGTTGCCTGTCTGGGGGCGGAGGTAAGGAAAGGTAGCTGCTACTGGGCTAAAAGCCGAATTTGACTGAATTTAATTATAATTTATCACCCAAGCTTTTCCTGGCAGATGCAAGCCTTAAATAGATTCTAGAGCTCCAAAACTGTTATATCAGACAGATTCTACCAGTGCAATTATTTCTAGGTGGAGAGAGAGAGACTCCTGATGCTTCTACTCTGCCATTTTCCTAGAATCCTCTCTCCTCCAGTGATGATTCTTGCCTGGTGGTTTGCAGGTGATGATTTTCTAATTTTATCATTCTATTTTTTATAGTTCACATTTTACTGTAAAGAAGAGCTTCACTTTTCCCCCATTCATTCATTTATATCAGTACAGACTCATGGGTTCTATTTTATTTTATGGGTGATCATTCATTTCTTATTTTATTCCTAAAGTATTCAAGCCTGGTCCTGTGTTCCTTGACACATCTCCATCATCCTTTAAGTACTTCATTACCTTCTGGCACAGCAACATGTTCCAGAATCATCTTGTACTTTTCCCTGAATGAACCCTGGCAATAGTCATTTCACTAAGGAGCCCTCGTTGCTTTTAGTTTGGAGAATGGTATTTAGAAACTACCATTTGGGTAGTAGGTGTATCCCATTCTTTTTAATATATACACTTAAGATATTTTCCTAAATGATATAGCAATTTATTTAATCGGTTATGCACTGTTGAATATCAAGATATTTTTAGTCTTTCAAGGTTACAACAGGTAAGAAAGAAATATTCGTGCACACGTATTCTTATATGCTTGTTCCAGAGTTTTTACTGGATAAAGTTCTAGAAGTAAATTTGTGGATCAAAGGCTATGTACCTTCTACATTTTTTTTTTTTAATTTGAGTACAGTTAACAGTTACATTAGTTTCAGGTATACAACACAGTGACTCAACTTCTCTATATATTATGCTATACTCACCACAAGTATAGCTACCATCTGACACCACACAATGCTATTACAATTATCACTGACTATATTCCTTATGATGAATGTCTCATCCCCATGACTTGTGCATTCCATATGAATGTATCGCCTGTATCTCCCACTCCCCTTCATCTATTATGTCCACCTCCCCATCCTCCCATCCCTCTGGCAACCATGTTTGTTCTATGTATTTATAGGTCTGACTCCGCTTTTTGTTTATTCGTTTTGTTTTTTAGATACCACATATGAGTGAAATCATATGGTATTTGTCTTTCTCAGACTGACTTAATTCACTTAGCATAATACCCTCTAGGTCCATCCATGTTGATGCAAATGGCAAGATCTTATCCTTTTTAATGGTTGAGTAATATTCCATTGTTTATATATACCACATTTTCCTTATCCATTTGTCTATCATTGTACGGTTAGGTTGCTTCCATATCTTGTGGCTACTGTAAACAATGCTGAAATAAACACAGGGCTGCTTAAATTTTCTTGAATTAGTGTTCCCATTTTCTTTGGATAAATACCCAGTAGAATTATTACATCATATGGTATTTCTATTTTTAACTTTTTGAGGAAAGTCCATACTGTTTTCCACAGTGGCTATATACCAGTTCGCATTCCCACCAACAGTGCATGAGGGCTCCTTTTCCTCTACATCCTTGTCAACACTTGCTATTTCTTGTCTCCTTGATTTTAGCCATTCTGACAGGTGTAAGGTGATATCTCATTGTGGTTTAGATTTGCATTTCCCTGATGAGTGATATTGAACATCTTTTCATGTATCTGTTGGCCATCTGTATGTCTTCCTTGGAAAAATGTTTATTGAAGTCCTTTGCCCAATTTTTAATTGGATTGTTAGTGGTTTTGGTGTTGAATTACTATGTGCCTTCTACATTTTCAAAAATGTCATTAAACTGCCTCCAAGAAGAATTCTATCAATTTGTAGTATCATCAAGAATGTACAAGAGAGTTTGTAACTGGACATCTCTGCCAACACTGCAAGTTTTAGTCTTCCTAAATTTCCCCAATATAGATAAAAATATTTTTATATTTTCATCTCATTAATGGCCATTTATTTTGTGAGCTAGCCTATAAATTGATCTTTGCCCTTCTTATTCTGATTTTGTCATGTGCACTGAAATATTTATTCAGTTTATCTTTAAAAAATATTTATTAATATTTTCTTTCAGGATGTTATTTTAGTTTTTTTTAAGTAATCTCTACACTCAATGTACATGAACATAATGAACTTCCATGGACCCATCACCCAGCTTTGACTGTGTTCTCCCCTGCTTTGTTCCCCCTAAAGAGTTTTAAGCAAATCTCAGATATCACAGCATTTCACATGCAAATATTTTAATATATAAATATTTTTTAATATTTTCATCTAATGGAACTATTTTTTTTTAAGTAGGCTCCACATCCAGTGTGGAGCCCAATGTGGGGCTTGAACTCATGACTCTGAGAACAAGACCTGAGCTGACATCAAGAGTCAGATGCCCAACCAAATGAGCCACCCAGGCGCCCCAGGAACTATTATTTTCTAAAAACAAAACAAAACAAAACATGATTCTCATACTAACAAAATTAGCGTATTTAAATATCCTATGATGAAAAATGTCTTTTGAGTGTTCAAAATCCAAGGAAGATCTGCATGTTGTATCTGATTATAACAGCTGAGTATCTTTTAATCTATGAAAGACTCACCCTTCATTTCAAAATGCTATTTTTTTTTTTTAAAGAAATGAGGCCAATTTGTCCAGGAAAATATTCCATGGTATAAGTTGTTTTTTTCCCCTTCCTATATTTTCTGTAAATTAATAGATAGATTTAGAGGCTTGGTTAGATTCAGGCTCCTTGTTTTTAATAAGACTACGTTATAAGTGATGCTGGGTACTTCCTTCTACACTATATTAGGAGGCAAGTAATATTTGGTTGACCCACTTTTTAGTGATCTTATAATTGAGCAGTTGCTTCATGTGTTGTCTGCCTAATCTATCCATTTTAAATTCCCCCATAAACCTTTTCCTAATGTTCCTGACATGTGCTAATGATTTTCTTTGATCCATTATTTTAGTGAAATTCCAAAAAGTCCACCATTGATTTTATATTTATTAACTGTATTTCTTCTACAATAAAGAGTGTTCTCACATCAACCTTCTGGTTACACTAATAGTTCATATGGAAAATGTAGGAAGATGACTTAATTTTTTTTTAAATCAAATTTTAGATCTAGTACATCTGATTTTTTTAAATTAAAAAATTTTGAATATGCAAAAGTTGAAAAATAATATTTATATATTGAAAGAAATAGTGTGGATATAGAGAATGTTCAAACTTCTTTACTAATCTGAGAGGATTTCAAATTCAAAGTCAAGCCTTATAAGGTCCATCACATGTGTCTAAAATGTAGAAAGTTATAAATTATAATAAACAAAAGAAGCATCTTACCTGAACAATATTGTCTACATTGCTAAATTCCACACACTTCTGCCCTCTCTGGTGATCACAGTAATATTTGTTTTGTTTCCATTGTGGGGGTGAGTGGGCACGAGATTGTGGATTGTTTGGTACATTGAGCTGCATCATCACCATTCCTCCAGCAGGGGGCGGAGGTGGCACAGCTGGAAATCAGAGTTGGGACACTGCAATCAGTATACTTTACCAACTAGCTGGTATCTTTAAAACACTAAGAAAATGGCAATAATTTTACACTTCTGAACAAAACTTTACTATCATATATGCGAGCCAGATTTAAGCCCTAGAGCTCCATGCTACAAGCGTGTGTGTTTAAAAAGGCATTAAAATGGGACTCTGTAGGCCTAAACATCTTATTCTAAAAGTAACAGTTCCACAGTTACTCAGGGAAGTCCAATTACCTACTACCGAACCTAGTAGACAGTAGCATAATTGAGACATTATCTATAAAAGTGATTAATTTAAAAAATAAATTAATTTTAAAACTGGCATTAGATACACAGAGAAGAAAAAGTTTGGGATGTGGGAATCAGAAAGCACAATTTTAGTACTCTGAAATGTTCTAGGACTCTGGGAAAATCACTTAACCTTTTTTATTACGAGTTCTCATCTGAAAACAGCAGCAAAGACTTCCTTGACTAACTTTATTTATTTATTTTAAAGACTTTATTTATTTATTTGACAGAGAGAGACACAGTGAGAGAGGGAACACAAGCAGGGGGAGTGGGAGAGGGAGAAGCAGGCTTCCCGCTGAGCAGGGAGCCTGATGCGGGGCTCGATCCCAGGACCCTGGGATCATGACCTGAGCCGAAGGCAGATGCTTAACGACTGAGCCACCCAGGCGCCCCTCTTTGGCTAACTTTAAAAAGTTGTACTGATCACATGCATGCATAAACACTTGTTAAGTGTATAACAGAGATAAGTAGTCTATTATATCTGTCTCCTTATCTGATTTATTTCTCTTGTGTATTAGACTGCAGCACTACTAGTATTAGGCATGTATGTTTCCTGCCACCCACCCCTTCAGCGTAAGGTGAGGTAGGATTCTTATGCCTCAAGGGCCTTAGTTTGCACTGTAGTAACCAAAATGGTAGTTTCCAGTTCCCTAGAAGTAGAGCCAGGCTGACCAGAGAGGCAAACCATAGAGGGCTGACTGCTTAGGGACACCTCAAAGTTCTCCTCAACGACAGCAGCCATGCTGGATGCACACTATTAGCCATTTATTTCATAATCATTTACTATTTCTCAGAGATTTACATATGTCAAGAAATCATTATAATAAAATATGGCATCATGATAAAGGATTAAGACACTACAGAAGCCAAAAAAAGAAGCAACAAACTCTATTTTAAATACTAGGGAAGCCTTTGTAGAAGAGGTGATTTTTGAGTCAAACCATAAGCACAAGCAGGATTTTGGCAAATAATGGTGGACGGGCATTTCAGGGAGAGGGAGGAACAGGTACAAAAGTGTCTTTGGCATGAAAAAGCATGGTACTTTCTCAAAACACAGTTCTGTTGGACCTGAACATGTAAATATAAATAGGAGGCTTACTTGCTAGGGAGTTTAGACAGAATCCATGCACATTCCTGATTCAGAGGAAAGTATTTCTTGAACAGTGTGTGTGTGTGTGTGTGTGTGTGTGTGTGTGTGTGTGTGTGTGTTGGGGAGGTGGAAAGCTGGGTGTGGGGGAAACATGAAACCATGCAAATAAGATGTGCAAAGACTGACCAAGAATGGTGGCAGTGGGGAAGGAAAGAAGGCATGATATTTGAGGGAATGGTGGCATCACGAATGTGAAAGGAGAGAAAGAAGAGAGGTGATTACGACTTTGAAAACTTTTTGGTCCCTAGAGAGAGGGTGAGGTAAGGGATGCAGGAAGAGGAAGGAGTATTAAATCTGAAGTGCCTCTGGCACAACCAGGTAGGAATGCCCAGTAGGCAGTTGGCTATCTGCCTCTTCTTAGCCAAAAGAAGATTTGAGAGGCGCTGGCAAAAAACAGTTGTTGAAGGTTTGGAGGTGGATGCGTCCGCTAGGAAGAGCATGAAGAGTAAGGAGATGATCCCAGAGAACATCAATGTTTATGAGGCAGGGAAGGAAGGAGAGTCTGAGGACGAGAAACAGGATAGCAGTGTGGGAGTAATAACAGCAGAAAAGGAAGCAGCGGACGGGAACTGTTAGCTCTGAATTTGCAAGGCACCCTAAATATCTTGGCTATATCTCAGCACATAACAAGTTGAAAACTGCATTTGAGAAATGCCTAAGGAACTTAATTTCTCAAATGGACAAACCATTACCTATTTTCCAATTATATTCATACCTGCACACTGGTGGCTTTGAAGCTGCTGGGAATTGCCTGGTGAAGTAGTTCGAGGAAACTGTACTTGTTCTGATCCCGGATGTGGCAAGTAACCTACTGATGAGCTACGGCGGAAAAATCAAACACAAAAACACAGCACAGTGAGATGGAGAGGACTGTAAAGATTCTTTGAAAGAACAAACCTACAAATTTATTTAAATGAAATTATTTTTCAAATTGGTTAGGAGTAAAAATAAAATCTACCTCTATTCTCTAAGAGTTATGAACAATTACTTTTTGGACAAAAATCTATGTTATGACAGTAATACTGATTTTTTTTAAATCAGGAAACACCACTCCTAATTTCATTGCTCTTACTTCTTTACAACTTATTCTAAATATGACTTTTTTATTATTCAAATAATTATTTAAAAAAGAAGAAAAATAACTTTACAAAATGAAAAATTAACTTACTTGGATCTCACTAAGCTATATTTTAGAAAAGAGAATATGCAGTTTGACAACGAGACTCAGAGAAAAATGTTTTACTGCCTTTTAAAAAAAATTTTATTTATTTATTTGACAGAGAGAGAGAGAGAGAGAGCACACAAGCAGGGAGAGCAGCAGAGGGAGATGGAGAAGGAGACTCCCTGCTCAGCAGGGAGTCCAACTTGGGCCTTGATCCCAGGATCCTGAGATCATGACCTGAGCTGAAGGCAGATGCTCAGCCAACTGAGCCACCCAGGTGCCCCTGTTTTATTGCTTAAAATATGTACTAAGAATAAAGGAAATAGTAAAACATAATTCTGACATATTCTAACATAAATACTGACAAAATTAAAGGCTGCTAGTATAAAACTATTCAGTTTTTCCTGTATTTTTCTTTTTAAAAAGATTTTATTTATTTATTTGAGAGAGAGAGAGCAGTAGAGGGGAGAGGCAGAGGGAGAGGAAGACTCCCCGCCGAGCAGGGAGCCCCACATGGGACTCCATCCCAGGACCCCAGAATCATGACCTGAGCTGAAGGCAGATGCTTAACAGACTGAGTCACCCAGGTATCCCTTTTCTTTATTTTTCAAGTTAATCTTTGAGACTCAAACTAACATGGGATCTGTCACAATATGTCTTTTAAAGTTTTCTCTGTTTAGCAAATTCTTTGAGGAAAATATTTTTTTTTAAGATTTTATTTATTTATTTGAGAAAGAGAGAGACACAGCGAGAGAGGGAACACAAGCAGGGGGAGTGGGAGAGGGAGAAGCAGGCTTCCCGCAGAGAAGGGAGCCCGATGCGGGACTCAATCCCAGGACCCTGGGATCATGACCTGAGCCGAAGGCAGCCGCTTAACTGACTGAGCCAGCCAGGCGCCCTGAGGAAAATAGTTTCAAATTAGAGAGTGATACTATTCATTCTTTCTGAGAATTCGCAAGTAATCAGAATTTTTTTTTTTTTAAGTAATCTCTACACCCAATGTGGGGTTTGAACTCACAACTCCAACATCAAGAACTGCATGCTCCACTTACTGAGCCAGCCAGGCACCCCTCAAGTAATCAGAGTCTTAATTTATATATAAAACCCCATTAGTTACCAGTCTTTTTTCATCATTTAAAAAAACTTCCTTACATAGTATAATTTCTTAATCTAGCTTTAACAACTTTTTTTTTTTTTAAAGATTATTTATTTATTTGACAGAGAGAGACACAGCGAGAGCAGGAACACAAGCAGGGGGAGTGGAAGAGAGAGAAGCAGGCTTCCCGCGGAGCAGGGAGCCCGATGTGGGACTCGATCCCAGGATCCTAGGATCATGACCTGAGCCGAAGGCAGACGCTTAACGACTGAGCCACCCAGGCGCCCTAGCTTTAACAACTTTTTGCATTAAAAATACGTTAGATCCAACTACTGAATTATTATAAAGACTATAGGGAGATGTGTTCAACACCATGACACAATCAGTAAAATTCACACTATGGGACACTCAAGACAAATGTATAAAAACATAAGCAATATTTGTAGTGTAGTTGGAAATAAAAATGCTAACTAGATATTTGATATAACTAAGACGTTAACTATGACAATTTTTAACATGCGAAAGTAGTTCTGTGGGTTAAAAAAAAAAAAAACTTTCAGGGATTCCTAAACTGAAATACTCATGATTGAAATGCCATGATATCTGAATTTATTTACAATCTTATGGAAAGAGGGTGAAATAGAGCTTTAGAGGAAAACAGATGGGTCATTAGTTAATAACTGTAGAAGTTACGGGTACATGGGGGTTCAGTGCACTTTACATTTATGTGCACTGAAGAATTTCTGTAACAGAAAGTTAAAAATGTTTCTCTAAATCAGGCAGACAATTCTCCAATTACTAAAAATTCATAAAGTTTTATTGATTTTTAGTAGCAGTAACTCATTGTGGTTCAATAAAATAAGGAAAAAGAAAGAGATGTAAAGGGAAGATTTCACAAAAGGTGATTTGGGACCATATGACAAAATGTAAAAACAGTACTTCCTGAAATTGATATTAGTTATGATTGGGATGCATTATGAGTCTTAGCTAAGCTGTGGAAATAACACAGCTCAAGACATGGTTTGTAAACATGCTGCTACCAGGAGAACAGAAAGTTTCACTATAGGGTGGAAGGATTTTTAGGTTCTGTTTTCTAATTGGGATACATGCCCCCTTGGGCCATACAGGACCCCTCACCCTGATCTTGTTCACTAAGCACCTTCTAATGGCTTATCCAAGTTCTGAGGCACATGAGTGACAGGAAGCCACCCAAAATAGGAGTAAGAATATTCAGGTCACTGAGATGAATGATATATCCCAAACTACTAAACTACAAATTGCCATTCACTTTACCATTTTACTGGGTTTTAGTTTTATATAGTTAGTATAAATTGGTTTTCTAGTCCTAGATTATCCCTTAGGTAAATGAATTATAAAACTGAGTTCCAAGACTAACTGATCTCCTCCAAAAGACATGAAGATACTTCAAGGGATATAGACTGGGCAATGAATATCTCTCTTAAATTTCTTAAATGGTCTATTTTCAATTACCATCTATTTTGTCTTTTACAAAGGCAGAACTAGAGTAGGTTAGAAAAAAAAAGAAAAGCAAAAGAGTCAGCTTAACACTCTCACTTTAAAAATACAAATATTTAAATAATATATCAAAAAGGAAAAACCGTTTTGTAGTAATTTCAAAAATTTCTCCTTTAGAGACAGGGTATAAACAGAAAGGGTACTTTTAATTTTTTATTTTTATTTTATTTTAAAGATTTTTATTTATTTGACAGAGAGAGAGAGAGAGAGAGAGAGCGCACAAGCAGAGGGAGAGGGAGTAGCAGATTCTTTGCCGAGCAGGGAGCCCGACGTGGGACTCGATCCAGGACGCTGGGATCATGACCTGAGCCGAAGGCAAATGCTCAACCAACTGAGCCACCTAGACGTCCCAGAAAGGGGACTTTAAAGCAAAACACCAGGCCTAGTTCTTGAAGAAGTTCAGACCCTACCATTGAACAGGAAAATAAAACATCAATCCCATGAATCCATTTGGTTCCAAGCTTCCTGAAAACCATGTATGTAAATTAAAACTAGTAATATCAACTTTCAAAGGTATTAGAGTTCATTGCAACAAAAATTCGCCTTGCCACTTACACCAATTGTTTTGCTATATTTTTTAGGAGCTGTCCCTTCCCATTCTATGGTACAGCCAGGTCATATTGCTGCAAAATTGCCTCTATGGGATCAGCAGAGATTGATAAATGATGAAAGGTTTCTTCTTCTGGGTTTTCTATAATGTTCATCTTATTCCTACAATGTTCCACGATAATTCATAGGTAAAAATTCCTCTTTCCTCTAGTCATTTGTTTTTGCATTCTTACTGTATTTTGGAATCAAAGCCATAATGGGAGAAATGATAAACACATTATGTATTTTTAAAATCAGAAACCTACTGTAGTCTACCAAAGTATGAAGAATTTTTAAGTGTCCTATAACCATTTATGAATGCTTAAAACGGTCCTTTTAAGGCGTATGCCTGATGCCTCTTTGATTAGATCATGGTAATCTATTTGATACACTATGAGTGGAAATTAATTCTTATTAAGATAGACTCATTGGATATTCTTGCAAATTCAAGTGATATTACATTGCTCTCTATTTTAATGGCTTTGACATTTAATACTTGATACAGTGGAAAGCACCATGGATTTGGGTGTCAGAGGGCAGCATGGGTTTGAGTTCAAACTCCATTTATTTGTAGTATGTCTTTGAACTTCAGCTCTCTCTTCAGTAAATGTGTGATTAATCTTTACCTTACCAAATATGAGGAAAGACTTGGCCAAATAATTCAAAATACAAATAGTCAAATGCAAAAACGTACATCTTCATTAATGATCAAAGAACCGAATTAAAATGAGATATGTCTTTATGAAACATGAAAACAACAAAAACAAGTCAGTACTTACAAGGATTGTAAATCAAAGGAAGATTTTGTCAAAATGCACTTAAGGACCTTAAAAACACATATTTTTTAACTTACTAATTTCCCTCTAAGGACTCTATGCCAAGAAAGAAATTCAGATTGCTCACTAACTGGTTCAATAAAGTGAAAAAGATGAATATGACCTGTATGTTGTTCTTTTATTTTGTTTTAAAGATTTATTGATTTGAGAGAGAGAGAGGGAGAGTGTGAGCAGGCAGAGGTACAAAGGGGGAGGGGGAAGGACAAGTAGACTCTGTTGTGAGCTTGGAGCCCAACGAGGGGCTCGATCCCATGACCCCAAGATCATGACCTGAGTCAAAATCAATTGTTGGACGGACACTCAACAGACTGAGCCACCCAGGCGCCCGACCTATATGTTCTCTTCCAAACTATATGAAAAGAAAAAAGACAGAGGAAAAATATGAATGTGACAATAACAGTCAACTTAGGGTTGTGGGAATATAGCTGATTCTTGACAATTTATATCATTTGGTATTTTCCAAAAAGGCATGCGTACATTATATAAGTATAAAAGATAAACGCTAAAAATATCCAATGAAAACTGCCTGGAAAGTTTCACGTTTAAATGTTGCTTTAGGGATTTAATTTCAGTGATTGATCTGAATCTCCTTCAGAACTCC